GGTATAGATCATAACATAGCAAGTTCCAAAAACTAGCTCCCCAGAGTAATGAAGATATGCTAGGCCGGGCACAGTGGCTCACATCTGTAATCCTAGCACTCTGGGAGGCAGAAGCGAGAGGATCGCCTGAGCCCAGGGTTTGAAGACTAGCCTGGGCAACTTGGTGAGTCAAAAAATTAGCCGGGCATGGTGGCATGTACCTGTGGTTTCAGCTACCTGGAAGGTTGAGGAAGAAGGACTGCCTGAACCCAGCAGGTCAAGGCAGTGGTGGCCATGATCGTGCCACTGTATTCCAGACTGGGCAACAGAGTAAGACTCCTATTCAAAGAAAAGAAAAATAAAAAAGAAATGAAGATATGAAAAGGAGCCTCAGGCAGTGTGGACAAATTAGGGCCACTGAAATGGGAGCTCGGGCCTCCACGAGAGGTGCTGTCTGCCTTGTTGGTGTGATAGAGCCCCAGGTGGTGTGCCGTGGAGGGGTCATCCAGGGAGCAGCTAGTGGAAATGGCTTTGTTACTGTAGACTCTAACTTTGGGGAGCTGGTTTGGGTGGAGATAAGTCTTCTATAGACATGAGAGTGTGAGGAGGTTTCTTCATTGCCTTGTCTTAATGCCTGAGTGATTTCTGTCCAAGTTACTGCAAGTTGAGATTGAGTGAGGAACTTGTAGGTGAACAGTTGAGGATTTGAATGATGGTTTGCATGAACTGAATCAGAATTTTTTTTATTTAAAAAATTGAATTAATATATGTACAGTGTAACAAGTAAATAATAAGGAAGGCTATAAGTTAAAACTCTCACTCTATTGCCCTGAGGTAACTAAGTTTGCTTTGTTCTTTACTGCAAACCTTTCTCTCTATGGCATGCAGATTTAATTTTGAGTGTGCATTTAAATTGATATGTGTACTAAAATTTGAATTTAGAATATTTTATAACTATTTCAAAAAATGACTAGATTAAATGGAATGGAAATTGGATGGTATGACTATTACATTCTGTTTGACTAAGAATTAGTACTCAGTCTCTGTTTAGTGGTAGGGGCATAAAAGGAGGTACCAGTTGGTCAACTTGGGGGAGGTTAGGGACAGAAGAGGGGTTTGGAAAGAGGAAAAATGGAAAAGCAAGTTGAGAAGTCCCTTCAATAGGACCATAATATGAACCTCCCTTCCCTGTTTCCTATCTGCATATCTGTTTTATTTTGGTGTAGAAAGATGAGGGGACCGGGCTTGAGTCCTGGCTCTGATTTTTTGGGGACTTGATTGTTCTACTGAAGATACCAACCTTCTATAAAGTTTCCTCATTTATAAAAGGAACTTAATAATATTTCATGGGTTATTTTATCGGTTCTTATAAAGGCTAAATAAAATAAAATACCTAGTCCAGTGCTTGGTATATTGATACTTCTCTTTCTTCAGTTCCTTCTCTCCAAGTGGGGAGTTTGAATCTTGAAGTTATCTTGAAAATTGTTTTACAGTAGTACATAATCAGGCCTCATTGTCATGTTGAAAGGTACTGTTTCATATATTGGGTCAGGAAAAAAAAAATCATTGATTATATGGTAGTACTGGGGTGCCAGAAAAATGTATACACATTTTAAGAGCTGTTCATCGTAATCAGAAGTGTCTGGACACTGATGGTAACCACTTTGAGCATCTCTTGTAATTGCAGAAATCAAATGTGACTGGTATTCATCTTTTGTATATATTGAGTATTACAATTTGAATACAGTTTTTTCTTCTTAAAATGTGTATTTATTTATTTATTTTTGGCATCCTCTGTATTTCTCTTTGGAATCAAATCAGCTGAGTATTTCTGGACCCTTGTAAAGATCTGGAAAGAGATTTATTACATGCCGTTTGTTGGGCTTGAGCCAGGTTGGGAGTTTACCTGCCTTTTCACTGTCTGTCTGAGAGGAAGAGATTGTGGTCAGTTCTCCATTGTCTTCCCACTACCCTAGCCTGTGACATGTGATCTGATAATTTGCAGTTACATTAAAGCAAAATTCTGTTATATTTTGGAGATAGTTTTTGTGTGTGTCAGTCACTGAAATTAATTTGATTGGAAGCCAAGTTTTGACCAACTAAGATGGGAATTATAGAAAAACACATTTTCATTTCAGTTCTTAAATATAATATTAAACTCTCAATAAAAATGAGACAATGACGTACTTTTAAAAAAATATGTATGGAGGAGGAGAAAAAGACTTTAGCATTCAGCAGACCTTAGGTATGTCCATTCAAACTTAGGTTTTCATTCAAAAGACTACTTGCTCTTCCCACCCACCTCCTTTAGATTATACTAAATCAGTGGTAGGAAGGGAGGAGATCCAGGTAAAAAAAAAAAAATAAAAATTATGAATTATCCCACTTCTCAGAAAAATCTGTTGTTGGCATTTTTTATGTATTTAGTTTCAGACTATTTTCCCTTCATATTTATGTATTCAGTCATCTGTGTATTGTGAATATCTTTATATTGATAAATATATTTCCATATAATCACATTATCTTTGTTCTCTTCCAGTTATGGAAGTAATATGTGTTTATTGAAAAAATTCTTGAAGAATATAGAAAATATCTAACAAAAAATAAATATTTCCATATAATCTAATTAATCATTTGCATAATAGTCCTTTTTAACGTCTTCTTAGTTTTCAGCTATATGGATGGACCATAATTTACTGAGCTAATTCCATATTGTTTTTCATTTAGCCATGAATTGGAAACAGTTTGTAGTAAACCATACTGCTATGAACATATTTGTACATACATCCCTGATATAGTTGCCTGATGATCTCAGATGATCTCATTAGAATAAATTCCTACAAGTGCATGTGCTAATTAAAGTGTATGTATATTTTGTGTATGTATTTATTTTTAGTTTTGGTCAGGTACTGCTCAATTCCATCCCTCGCCAAAATATCAGTTTTCTGAACAGCAGTATTTGGGAAATACCAGTTGTTCACATCCTTCCCAGTTTTTTTTTTTAAATTTGAAATTGTTTTTGATTATTAAGTTTAATTTTGTTCATGAGGTTTTGGCTATGTATATTCCTTTGTGAATTACTTGTTTGTGTGTTTTAAAAAATTGAAACGTCATCTTTTTCTGTAAAACCAGTAGTTTCTTTTTGCACATTAGTCAATATGACTTAGAAGATGCCTTAGTTTCCGTTGAAACAAACATGAGTTATGCATAAATAAAGAATTCACTCAGCTGCAGCACTTGGCTTTCTGCAAAGGTCTATATTGACCTGAGAGCCTGGAGGTTCTAGCACAGCTTGTACTGTTACCCTGAGGCAGGTAGATAGATTCCAGCTGCCTTCTGAACTATGCGGAGTTTTCCTGACAACCACGTCTGGGTTTGTCTCTGCAGTCCCATTGATCTCTGTAGTTGTGCTCTTGTTTGGATGAGGAGTGAGACTCTGCCAACCACTGCAATAAATCAAAACAAGACTTTTGATCCCTAAGCCCAGTGGCAGTTGATATTAGGGATGGGAGAATAATGCCTGTGTAAATTACTGTATACAAATATTCTCCTTGGTGCTTATGATGGTTAAATAAAGTAACAGCAGAACACCTTCTAGCATGGTACCTATCACACAGTAAGTGCTCATTAGATGTTAGTAGGTCATTTAACTAGGATGGCCGAGGAAGACACTGATAAATAGAGGTCTAGCAGATCTGGGTTTAAGCCCATCTTTTTTACAAATAAGTAGGTGACCTTGGGAAAGTTATTTAATTTTTGAGCTTGTTTTCACATGTTGAAAGGAGATATATAAACTTTCTCCATAGGGCTAAATGAGATAAAATGCCAAGCACATAGTCTCATGCCTGACATATAGCTCCCAAAAGGAAGAAAGTAATGTTAGTGCTCAGTAAGGTGGATGCTGCATCGTGGCAGCCAAAGGCATGGACACCCAGGCACACCCAGAAGAGTAGTGTGCTCTTTATTTATTCTAGAAGGAAAGGTGCAGTAGGGAAAGGTGATTAATGTGAGTAGGAGAAGGAAGAAGGCATGAGTAGTGGGAATTGTGGGGAAGAAATGGAAACATCTAGATTCTTTCTTTTCTCCTCCAAGACAAAAATAAAATAACTTCTTTTGCTCAGGATGTCTGTCACCAGTTGATTCTGTAGTTCTGTTTCAGTGATGACTTGGTCTTTTATAGTCTAGTTTTGGAGAAATGAAATGTGTAGGTATATATGTATATAAAAAATTACAGTTAAAAATAGTTCTTAAAGAGATGCTCTTTAAAATGAAAACATGAGAAATAAGTGCTGGCAGCATCTAGGCAAGCATGGGTGATCAGGGAAAGTTTCTTGCAAGGAGTAGGTTTGATCTGACTCCTGAAAGAATAATTGAATTTTTGGTCCTTTTTTTAAAGTGCACTGACATTTCCTGGAATATATTCCATTGCACCTTAGTTCCGACAGGTGCTCTGGATAGAGCAGGTCTTCAAGGTCAGCAGAGTTTCCAGAGGCATCACACTCCATCACTTATGTGACCACTTCACAGTGCTTGTCTACTTCCTGAAGCCCAGTCAACCATGCCAGAAAGGGATCTGCTAAACCATGAAGCCCAGCAGAGTCAGGTCCCTGCACTCGACTGGCAGAACAACCCAGAAAGCTTGGGATCTGGGGCTGCAGAACTTGGCTGCAAGCTTCACTTTCCTTTGTAGGTTACACTTTGGGGAACATAGTTATCACTTGCCCCTGTGTACGTATTTGTAAAACATTTGGGGATCATCAGGCATATTAACTACAACTCTTTAAGCTTAGGGGAATAAATAAAAAAGCCAAATAGAAAAATGATGAGAATTACTCAGTTCTGGATTTCAACTTTCACCTTGAATTTTTCTTTTCTCTGTTGCTTATTTATTTTGTTTCTGTGAAATACTTTATAGAGTAGTTGCATATGATAAAAATGAATGATCTTAAAAGTTGCAAATGGAAATATTTTAGACATACTCCTATTTTAACAAAAGTTTTTGTTTTTTTCCCATTTCCAAGGTATATTACCCAAATCTGGGATGGATGTGCATTGATGCCACTGATCCGGAGAAGGGAAACTGGCTGCGATATGTGAACTGGGCTTGCTCAGGAGAAGAGCAAAATTTATTTCCGCTGGAAATTAACAGAGCCATTTACTATAAAACTTTAAAGGTAACAGTGTTAGAATTAGTTGACTATTAGTTACTCTGCTTATGTTTTTCTAAATGTTGTCCTTAGCTGTGACTTGAGGATTATATTTGAAACTGGTCCGTCCACAAACACACTCAAGGTACTGTGTTTTAAATTTGTGGTTGACACTGCTTTGTGTGTATCAGGGAACTAAGGCATGAAGATCATGTAAAGTGATTGCATCTTGCATCTTTATAGATACTGATACTGATGAATTAAGCTCCTTCCTTCCTAAGATGCTGAGGCATTAGGAGCTGTCTGACTGGCAGATTTATCCAACTGTGAGAAACTATTGATAGCTATGGTAGGTTCTTGGTAACAGAAAACACATTCTTAGTCTTCAGTAGAAATGCAGCCTTGGGTTAGTTTTTCTTTTCCTTAAATTTTATTCAGAATAGAATTTGAACAGAGTATGTTTCTTCCTTTTGCCAGATTTCTATTTGGAGACATTAACTATTGAAAAGAAGAAGTCATGTCTTAGGGTTGGTGGTGAGGTTATGGAGCATATTCAGGGACGTTAGTATTAGGAAATGTTGAGTGTTGATGCATTTCTCTGGCAAGCAAGGCCATGTCTCGCTCCCTATTTTCACAGGGCACATTCTTCAGGAAGAGAGATGCGCGCATTGTGCATGGAAATGTTCTAAGGCAGAATCTTGAGCCTGTAAGGATAAATGGTTGTTGCTTTTTGCAATAGATATGTTTGCTAAAATTGATGTAAGGCAAATTTCTCTCTATTCATTTACTTCCATTAAAAATGTAATTGATTGGGAACGGTCTATGAAAAAAATTAGCTCCATGGAATTGAACACTCTTGGTAAACACACATTTCAGATAGTGGCCACCTTTGGCATGTGCTGAGTGGTGGCTCACGCCTATAATCCCAGCACTTTGGGAGGCGGAGGTGAGAGCATTGCCTGAGCCCATGGGTTTGAGACTAGCCTAGGCAACATAGTGAGACCTCATCTCTACAATAAATAAAAAATTTAGCCAGGCGTGGTGGCTCACACCTGTAGTTCCAGCTACTTGGAAGGCTAAAGGGGAAGGATCACCTGACCCCAGCAGGTAGAGACTGTGGTGGCTGTGAGCGTGCCACTGCACTCTAGCCTGGGTGACAGAGTGAGACAATGACTTAAAAAATAAAAATCTTCCTTTGCTGCATTTTTTTCTGACATTGTTAGCCAGTTAGACTGCCCTTTACCAAATATATATCCAGGTTCTTGCATCCAGTCCCTGTAGGAATTTTTTTTTCTCTGATGGTACTTTCTTATTTAAGACTTTTATTTTCATTTATTTTTATTTTTTTGATTTGGAGTCTCACTCTGTCGCCCAGACTGAAGTGCAGTGGCCACTCCCGGCCACCGCAGTCTCCGCCTGCTGGGCACCCGCGATCCTTCTGCTTCAGCCTTCCAAGTAGCTGGAACTACAGTCACGCGCACCACGCCCGGCTAATTTTTGACTTATTGTAGAGATGAGGTCTCCCCAAGTTGCCCAGGCGGGTCTCGAACCCGCGGGCTCAGGCAATCCACTGACCTCAGCCTCCCAAAGGCGCAGGATTACAGGCTGAGCCACCGAGCCCGGCTATTTTTATTTTTTGAATTGGAGTCACTCTGTCACCCAGACTAGAGTGCAGTGGCCACTCCCGGCCACCGTAGCCTCTATCTGCTGGGCTCCGGCGATCCTTCCGCCTCAGCCTTCCTGGTAGCTGGAACTACAGGCACGCGCTACCACACCCGGCTCATTTTTTGATTTATTGTAGAGATGAGGTCTTGCCAAGTTGCCCAGGCGGGTCTTGAACCCGCGGGCTCAGGCAATCCACTCACCTCAGCCTCCCAAAGGCGTGGGATTACAGGCTGAGCCAACGAGCCCGGCTTATTTAAGACTTTTAAAACCTTGTTTTCCATTTTCTTTCTGCTGGAGTGTAGTTACATGCTTTTTTTGGTAAGTATTACTCTACAATTTTGTTATACTTGATTCAAAACTTGATTCAAGAATTCATTCTGTTTCTCAAATTTATCTGAAGTAGGAGATTGGGCCAGGTGCTGTGGCTCACACCTGTAATCCTAGCATTTTGGGAGGCCAGGGTAGGAGGACTGCTTGAGGCCAGGAGTTTGAGACCTACCTGGGCAACAAAGTGAGACTTGTCTCTACAAAAAATAGAAAAATTAGCTGGACATGATGGTGCATGCCTGTGGTCCTAGCTGCTCGGGAGGCTGAGGCAGGAGGATAGTTTAAATTCAGGAGTTTGAAGCTGCGGTGAGCCATGGTTGTGCCACTGCACTTCAGCCTGGGTGACAGAGTGAAAACCTTTCTTAAAAAAAATCTAATTGAATCAGTGAGGAATTATCCTGGTGGAGAAGAAATACTAGCTCCCTATCAAGACACTGCAGTTCCTTTGTTAGACTCAAGTTAAAATGTGTTCATCTCTGATGCAAATTCATAGGAACATTGAGAAGCAAGATAGAATAATGTTTGGGAGAGTGAATGCTGAAGCCAGACTGCCTGAGCCAGATCCTGACTTTCTGTAACCCAAGGCAAGTCGGTGTGACTTTCCTAGCTGTAATAACCTTAGTCAAGTCCCCTCTCTGCCTCAGTTCCCTCGTAAAATACAAGTAGTTATAGCGTCTACCTCGTAGGGTCATTGTGATGATTGCATGGGGGAACACAGCTAGAACTCTAGCATCTAATAAGTGCTAATAAATGATAGTGGTTATTTTTGGTGAGGTGGTATGTTGTTGTGGTGAGGAGTGGGGACTTCGGAGCAGACTGCCTTGTGAGCAAATTTGGGCTTTTAGAAGTGTGATTGTGCACAGTTAGTGATTCTGGGTCTTAGTTTTTTCATCTGTGAAAATGGAAGTAATAGTAAAACTGATACATGTAGTTAAACAAGTGAGGGTTAGACAAGTCAATATGTATAAGGTTCTATGAACAGTTCATAGTCCAGTGTAAGTACTCAGAGTGTTAACTAGCTCTTCTACTACTATTGTTTTACTATTGTCTTTGTCTAGAATAATATAGTTCTGATCTTTGTGGACCTCTCCTTATCCTGACCTTTAGATATTTGCGCAAGTATGGAAAAGGCCTTTCAGAGTCCTTATTAGTGATGATATAACTATATTCTTCTAGATTAAATGTTCTGTGGTTAGGTTTTGTAAATAGATGACATGTGATGTTCTCTGAGCTCTGTGTCACCTTCTCAACTTATACCACCTAGGTAATTGAGAAGTTTCAACATAGGTTTTGTTTGTAGTATGATTAACAATGATTTAAAATTCCTAGCCGGGCTCGGTGGCTCAGCCTGTAATCCCGTGCCTTTGGGAGGCTGGGGTGAGTGGATTGCCA